AGCCTGCCTTTGCACTTTCTTCTTTGATCTTCCTTAGTAATTTTTCTAAGGGCCTTTACAGACTGCCAGAAGTAATGCAGATAGAGTCCACTTTAACTGCTCTGACTCAGTGTTAGGGAACTGTATTTTTTTCTGAGACATTTAGCCTTCTCTGTCAGAGAACTCTGGTGCCACAATAAACTACAGTTCCCATTATTCCCTAGCATTGAGCCAGAGCAGTTAAAAGTGGACTCAAGCTGTATTATTTCTGGAAGTCTGTAAATGCCCTTAGTTTATATTTTCTGCGAATATTATGGTGTTGTCTGCATATCTTAGATTATTGATGTTCCTTACTCCTATTTTCCCTCTTCCTTCTTCTAAGTCTAAACCTGCACTTGGAATGATATTATCTGTGCACAACTTGAACAAGTAGGGTGATAAAATGCATCTTTGCTTGGCTCCTTTGCTAATTGGGAACCATTCTGTTTCTCCATATTCTGATCTAACAGTAACCTCTTGTCCTAACGACATCAGGACTATCAGATGTGGTCCCATTTATTTTTAGCAGTCCATGGTATCTGCAGAACTCCTATGTAGGACCACATTTCAGATGAGTTGATACTCTTCCTGTCAGCTTTCTTCAATGTCTGGCTTTCACATCCATACATAGAAATGGGAACAACAATAGCATGGACACCCCTAACTTTACTATTTAATTAACTATCTTGACACTCCAGGATCTTGTCTGGTTCCGTCATAGCTGCCCTTCCCAGCCCTAGTCTTCTTCTGATATCTTGACTCCATTCGGATTAATAATTGTTATGGAAAAATTTGAACTACCTTAGTTCCTGTGTGTCCTGATATTGTTGGTCTTTCTCTTTAAGAGGGAGGCAGACTTTTATAATGCTCTTTCAGATACTACTGTTGTGAAATGGAAAGTGTCAGTAATGCCATCTGATTAATATAAATTAAGTTACTAATTAAAGAAGTAACTTTATTTTTAACAAAAGTAATTGACAGGTTAGTATTTTAGTATAAACATTTTGTTCAGAATAAATTCTTTATTCAGTGAAATACCATGCTAAAGAGCCAACAAATACAGTACCTAGTTGGCTCTTTACCAAAAATTTAATACCCCTGGATTTTTTCAAAACTACTTCTTGCTTTTTGTTAGCTCTTCAGGGCTTGGAATGACAAAGTTTAGGCCCAGACCACTTAATCGCAGTATTTCTAGTGGGATGAAGTGGGCAGTGCATCTTTTGAGGTTAGCATGCAATATTTCAGAATATTGTAGAATTACTTGGAACTTATGTGCAGTAAGGTAAAAAATGAAAATGCAGTTAAAGTGGTTTCAAACTGGATTATTTCTGCAGTGTGTTTTGACCTTAGTTAAGGTGAAAAGATTTTAAATCAACACATACTAAGGGCCTATGCAGACTGCCAGAAATAATACAGCTTGAGTCCACTTTAACTGCCCTGGCTCAATGCTAGGGAATCATAGAATTCTAGAATTGGAAGAAACCACAAGGGCCATCCAGTCCAAGCCCCTGCCATGCAGG